AACGGATAGGTCTGGAAAGACAAAGAATTTAACGAGATCTGCTCGTTTATTATATTTCCTAAATCACCTTGGCCGCGATTTCCTGTTATAAAGAGAGAAACCCATCCATAACAGGTACGAAAGAAAACTCCCCGGATAGCACACAAGGGATGGAACCCAAAACGGATGATGGGCGTTTCGCGCGCGTGATTTACCAATACAATCTGCTTAACAAACGTTGGCACCCACTCAGATTCAAGTGTTTTATGGTGATAATAAGCATTGTTTGAAAAAATTACCCAAGGTATAGATAAAGGTCGAGCCCTTAAAGTACATAAATTTGGATGTTTGTGTATCTTTGAGTGTTGAATGATTTCTGAAGACTATAAACGGTTCCAAATTTTATACTTCAATATCCGTTACAGGCAGAAGATATGCGTTACATCTAAAAAAATGCTAACGAATCTAGAGGCAATGTTATTTTGATGACGACTGCAGCTTTATAAAATTCGCAAAAAACTGGCTAAAACGTCCAAACGAACCATTTAATAAATTGAAAATCATATCTGCAGGTGTAAGGCCTATTATTGGATGCTGCTACTATTATCCTACTTATAATTACCCTACTACTTTAATAATTATAGGAAACGCTGTTAACAGTGGTTCATAACATAAGTCAAATTTGAAAGATATGTCTCAGCAATAAAAGTGAAATTGCATCTCGAAATAAAATCATCCCCCACTAACACAAGGCGCTTAACACAAGGCGCTTGGAGTCAAATATAAGATTAACATTAGGGCAAATTAAATCGCTGTCACTGCCGGAAATATGACAAAAACAGAAACAATTATAAAAATAGTTTGACCTCCAAGGGTTATCATACTCCATAGAACAACCTCAAATATTTATCACTGGGTGAGAACTCCGTTATATATCTTATTATTTGTTTATTTTACATGAATGACAAATTTGAGAAAAACTTTAATACATAAACATGAGATATGTCAACTTAACTGATTTCCATTTTTTTACACAGATTCACAAAATTCAAACATAAATATGTGCTATAAATCCAGTATAACAGCACAAGTAACAGCTATATGATAAAGTTCTATTATGGAAACAATGTTAACTGTAACCTTGACATGCTGCACATTATCCATTTCAGATTAATACTAGAACCCTTTGATCTCCAAAAACAAGCAAAATAACCAAATATACATGACAGATTTTAGGTTTTAGGGCCTTTATCAACCTACGATGTTTGTAAACCTGGGGTATAATACAATCTCTTCTGGTTATCAGTGCTGCCAAACTAAATATACATAGACAAAATTTCAAACCATTAAATATTTACCTTTCATTCTTAAAATTTCTAGCAGATCTAGATAGGACCAATGTGGCAATAGAAAGAAAGAAGAGCTGGCAACAGTCTGCTTTATTTTTAGAAATACAAAAATTTCAGTATCGGTGAAACTTATGCTATTATTCTTTTCAGGTATTATGATATTGTCAGGCAACAATTTTTTCAGAAAATTCTTACTGCATCCAGACCTAGGCTGTTATTTACAAGGGGTGATTCACTCTTGCAAATAACGTACAAGATTTTGCCTAAAACAAAAGGATTTCTGGGGATTTTCAGATGAAACAATAGGATTTTCACAAAAGGTGTACGTGATTGTCTTAGAGTGATTTACCCCTCAGTTATTTAGCTTATGAATCAGGGTTTTTGATTTTGAGACATGGCAAGCATAAACTAACCCATGGATGGAGAATATGCCTGTGTCCTGCTCATAATAATATTAGAAATTTCTAATTGCTTGCATTTTGCACTACTTAGAGAATATATACAAAACAAGAAAAGGTGATAATGGGATATTTAGAATCATGACCTATGTAAATTGAATGTATGGCATTTTGGCAAAACTGGTAGCGCTGGGCTATCCATATTTTAACTAATATCTTTTCAGGGGAAATTCCAGAGGGGCAAAATTCAAACTTCTGGATCTGGGAGACTCTAGATTTCCCCTGGATCCAAAATTTATTATATTTACATTACTGTTTTTCAAGATAGGGCTATAAAGCAGTCATCACAGTACACGAGGGACTAAAAATTCTACATTCCAGGGGGAATCAGAAAGGTTGACGATTATTTTAACAAAGGCGATGACATCAACAAAATATTTCCAAACAAGTAGGCCCCTTGTCCTTAGATAAAAGATTCATGAAGCAATTTTACATGTTATATAACTAGCATTTTTTAAGAAAGATGTCTTGCTAATAACGCTGAATTACAGTATTCAATAATCGAAAACCAATGACACATCTACAAAGCGCTGAAGGTGTCAAGTCAAGGTCATTCAAGCGAATGAAACGGCCTAAAATATTGTGAACAAGAAGATACAACTGGCTTACCTGTTGTCAACTTTGAGAGATAATTCTTTGTCCGAGCTGAGAAAATACCATCAAATGCCTGTCATCAGTGCATTTTACATCGCTATGGTTCAAAAGCCGTATCTCCATACATTGCTTTTCATTTTCCGTCTACACGTGTGTTTTTGTTGTGGGCGCCTCTTTCTTTCACACGAATTGTCCTTCCTACAACACAAAGGTTCAACCATTTATCTCCTTCGCAGGAACACCAAAAAATGAATGGCTGCGAAAAAAGCTAGGAACGAGAGGGTCTTTTCACTTTGGTTTCCAAAAATATTTGTTTATTGTAACCTGCTTATATTTCACTTCGTGATTCAATGATGCCATCGCGAATTCGGATAAAGTTGAGCAATTTTGTAAGCTTCCTGAGGAAGCGAACACAAGCTTACACAGGAAATGTCTAATGGGATGTTGACGATGATTTCACGATTTCGGTCATACAACGCAGGATTGAAAATTTCTGTTTTTGTTACATGAGGCAACTGTTATATGAGGGCCTCTGAGGAAATGCTATATGGGAAAGAAAGCGAGAATATGCTAGAGAAAACTGGCGAGATGCCATTACCGCTAGCCTAAGAAACTAACAATCGTATAATTATTTGGCTTAAATTTTGTACTTAAAATTCATAAAACTCTTGAGGTTTTCAGTTTAACCTTAAAAAGTGTAAATATTTGCCAAAGATGGATATATTGATTCAAAAATATTGCCTCAAAAAGTATGTAGATGATAATTTCGGATCTCAAAAGATTAATCCTTTGATCTCTTACTCAGAAAATAGGCTGACGTGATTTGAAAATATAAGGGAAGTGTGGCAACTCAAAAACTGTTCCAGCCAACAAACCGACCTGGTAGATCTAAAAATATTTAACGACTAAATGTTTATGTTTGAATTGAGTTCAGTGACAACATCAACATCTTACTGTTTTTAATTAATTATCTAGCTTTAAACAATATATTTTGACACAAAAGACTCTCCAAATAACAATTCTAAAATCAAATAAAAATTAGAAGCAAATAGCAAGAAAAAGCGACGATTAGAATCTAATATCTTGTTGAATATAAGTTTAAAATATATTGAGTGTAAAACTATTTCTAGAAGTTTTAAAACTATGTTCTTGTTCATAGTTCATGAAAAATTTTGCACTTTTTTCTTAGAAGAACTACTATAATGGTTCTTATCCGCCCTTAATCCTTACTTAGTTTATTTCTACATTGTTTTCATTATTGAGACTTATCGGACTACAGCATCAAGAATTTTCAACATGATTTTGAATTATTAATGTTCATGATAAATTTTGAATCTTCAATAACAGCAAACTTTATGAATGAGCCTCTGCAAAAATATACAATCCAATAGGATTACACTCAGTTAAGAGCAAAAGATTCAACGCAACATGGAACCGAGTTAGAAATGGTTTGCCTTTGATGTATATATTGCTTTATTGGCGCCTTTACCTTTTTTAGGCAAAGAAGCTGTGGAAGTAAAGCTTAGCTGAACAAAATTTGTTCTTCTTTTAGCTACGTTTAGCCGATGTTGCTGATCAACTGACAACTTTGCCGATCAAAGGAAGATTTTACGGACCAACTCAAGCAAAATTTGAAGTGGATTTCTGAATAGCATGAAATTTTCCCACAATACTTTGAGAAAGACACGGGGTCATCCATATAGTACATACGCAGTTTGAGAGGCACTTTTTGACCCTCCCTCCCCTCTTGTACGCACATGTACGCTTTTCGCATATCCCCCCCTTTTGCGTACACTTTGTATGCTTATATCTTTTTTTGCCCCCCCCCCTCCCCGTTTCAAAGTATAATACAAATAATTGAGAGTTTCCAGGGGAATTCAGGGAATTCTTCATACTGACCATTCCTTGTTATAATATATGTTAATGCAGTTGTCTAATTTATGTAATCATGTGAAGCACACCGAAGCAGATTCTTTAACATTGAACTTATTGTATTTAGCTTTCTAAAAGGCAAAGCCTTTCACATAGTTTTATCGGAAGTTCATCAAACAGAGCAGATTTAAGAAGGATGAAAATATGCAACAAATTTCCCCTTTAAAATCTCTGCCATATGAACAATGAATGAGCCAGCCTGCAAGGCTCAAATTTCACGTTTAGGAATTTCTTAAGCGTACGTACTAAATACCCATTACACCCCTCCCCCCTTGTCTACAAGCGTACGATTTTTGATCGACTCCCCCTCCCCCTGGGTGCGTATGTACTTTATTGATGACCCCCATCAGAGAACAGTTGATTAACCTTGAAAAGTACACAGCGATCTACATTATCAGTCCCAGCTGTAATAGTTATGGACGTAAATTGTTTGGGCATGTGCATGTCTGGCCTTTTTCCAAAAGATCGATATATCATAATTCTTCAAGACTTTGAAAAACAAGAAAAGTGAACAAGATAATAGTATTTTGATTTATTGCATTGGTTAATGTGTTTGCACTAAGTGTTGCAAATTGCTTAAATACTCGAAAAGTATTCACCATATTTGACTTGAATAAAGTGATGTTGTATCATTCAATTTTACACTTCATTATTTGTGCAGGATAGCCTCATCAGTCAAGAGGTCTTATATCAAGCTGGCCTATAAAACTTTACAATAAAACTAAATCAATAAGAATTGATTACAACCTAAAAGTTGCTAACATTTACTATGAAGCTAAAAATCTGAATTTTCTTCAAAGAACAGTCGAAGAAGAATTGAAGAAAGTAGAATGCGGCTTGATGCTTATAAAATTGCCATTGAATATTGACAAGTTTGAATTTATCAACGAGTCTCTTCTGTATTCTTCTTCTGAAGTAACTCCTTGATATGAAACCTACAGTGACCCAATGTTACAGAAGAGGGTTATAAAAGGATTTCATTGGAGCAAATTACTTAACATCTGTGGCTCCTTGCACAAACCGTCTCCATACACTCCTATCTCTCTAACTCAACCATTGTTAACCCTCTTTTACTTCATTTGCTTCTCAGCCTACCGTAATACACATTCTTTTCCAAATTTTATATATTTTAAAAGTTATAAAGCTACGTGATACTTCTCATCTCCTTCATACAATCCTCAAATGTCATGTACAGCCCTGTCAAGAGAGGGGGCAGATTGCCTCATGCCCAAGCTGAGAGTTGCCCAAAAGTGGTAACAAATTTCTTTACAATTACAACAACCGTAACAATAGAATTCCTAATGATAAAATCCAAAAAATGTAATAACATATTTCTTTTTGCCTCAGGCCTAAGAAAGGCTCTTGACGGGTCTGGTCCATTATCAGTCCTTTACTTTGTGTGTGTGTGCTATGTTTTACAAAATATTGCTATATAAATATGTCGATAATTGTTTAATACTGGTGTGTTTGCATATTATAGAGTTTAAAACCCACTGAATTGAACTTAAGTGAGACCATTGTTAAGTGTAGAATTTAGGAAATTAAGTGTAGTATTCAGGTTATTGACACATTGCATTCCAGAAAGACATTGAGAGATCGTTAATATAAACTTAGCAAAAGGAATAGAACAAGAAATGAGGCTTGCGGTACACAACAATCAGCCCTTTGTCTGCGGATACATCATTAAAGTTTTTAAATATTGACGTCGAGTTTGAAGATGGGATTTGGACCAAGAACGCTCAACTCCATCTATGCAATTATATCGGTTTTGCAAGTAAAAATTAATGATCAGCGGAAACCGGAACTTTATTATGTCGATTTATGCCAAGGTTTTTGTTCCATGTGATAAAAAGAACAACTTTTAGAATACTTTTCTATTGAAAGACCTTTTTAGTGCGTTTATTTTTCTTATTTTTGTTCCCCATGTTGATAAAACTCTTTCAGTTTTAATCTCCGCATACAGGAGGACGAATAGCACCTAAGATATCTTGCTACGAATGACTGACGACTGGAAAGTTCAACTTAATGCCCTAGGTTTTATGCAATAGAAACCTTCAAACTTTACTTCTTTCTCAGTGAGACCAAACCCGAAAGCTTTAATAAAAAGGTCAAGTCAAATTCGGCCGGAAGGAATGAAGATAAAATGTAGAGTTGTTTTCCATCTCACTAACCTGATCTAATGGCAACTGCTAATAACAAAACTTCTTTGCCATCCATACTGTCTAGAATCCTCATTCCTATCAAAATTCATCAAGTGACGTTTGTGGCAAAAAACATCATTGTAATTCTTCACATTATTCGTATGATAGCATAGATTCCAGCATAATGGTCAGTTATCCAATATTTTGCTTTAATGTCAACCACTTAACTGCTACCGAAATGCTGAAAAATGAATAGTAAGTCAAAGTAATATCTTAATTGCATTGACTGAATTGCTTTTTTGTTGATTCACAGAAAATGTCAAAATATCGCAAGCACATGACAAACTTTTCACCTTTTTCAACTGAGCGATAGACAAAGCTGGAAAAAGAGGAAAGGGCTTAAAATTCAACCTTACACGGTAGCATAACTACTTTCATTTCAACTAGAAAAGAAACCATTTAAGGCTGCTTTTCAATATTGATAAATCAATAGAAACGCGCTTTGATAATTTAGAAACTAAAGAAAAAAGCATAATAAAAGCAAGGAACAAATTCAAAATGAGTTAAAAACCTTTTCTTTGGTAGCAAAACAACATATGACATCTGGTACAAGCTGGCAACAGTAACTTTGAGAGACGAAAATCTCATTGGATGTGATATTCGTAGAATCAATCTCCAAATTAAAGACCATTAATTTTGCCTTGAAATTAAAGAATCGGCTTGGTCATGGCTGTATTTATAATCTGTCTTTGTGAAAATCTAACCAGGTGTTAAAAATAATCACTTTTTTCAATGGCGACACCATGGGGGAAGGGGAACTTGGAGGATATATTTTTGGTAGAATAGATGGTGTATTTCGTCCAAGTTCATCGAGAAATTGTTGAGGGAGGGGTAATATTGTGATTTAAGAACATTGAATCTTTCTAACGCACCATTGAGTTAACTTTCATTCGACTATCATTGGTTTACCAACTTTAGATGATGATCAAGATGAGATCAAGAATGAGATCAATGAAGTAATGAGATCAAGAAAGTTGGATATGGAAAAATTGAATCAAAGTCTAAACATGATTTGAATAGCAGTAACAAAAGAAGCTTGGTTCATTTTCGGTTGTTTTATTTCAATTGGCAAGCCACCAAGTTTTATTCCAGTAAAGCCGAGGACGTAAATTGACAGAAATTTCTTGGAGCATAAAGGATACGAAATTTCAGACTGACAATAAGCCAATTATATTTTGAACTGAAATTGTAAAAAGCCTTAACGTTATACCTGAATTGGGAGAATTCTTGACATTTGTGTTGTGAAATATTGTTCTCTGCTGTAAATAAGCATTAGATGACGACTTAGATTTTGCTATAACTCTTAAATGTTCCGGCTAATCCAAAGAATTTGAAAGTTTAGGGGGTGTGGCACCCTAAAATCCTCGGCGTTTACGTGCCTGTGTGAAGCAAAGGAAGTCTCCCTTGAACTTTTTTCTTCAGATATTGAGACCAAAGAAGCAACATAAAAGAGATCTTCCTCTTCTCCACATTCTAGCCAACGATATGAACAACGATGCAAGCTTTTCTATACAAAATCAACAGCCCTGTAAGCGTTCTAGATTTAAAAGAATACGTTTTTCCATGAATTGAATATCTCTGAAGCCAAGATTCTAAGGCTTATTAAAAATCTTTTTCGGCGATTTTCTTTAAAACTCTTAGATTTGCTGGTCTAACTGACGAAATCGTGGTTTAATGATGCCAATTTATGTAAAAAAGATTTTTGTTGTGACGCAGTATCATTAATAGTTGTTAATGTTTACATAAAAAGCGTTGATATTCAGCACAAATCTTCCCAAAACTTTTAACATTGGTTTCAAGGCCAAAGCAGCAAATAGCTAAGCACTCGGCTATGCAGCTGTGGCATTACAATCAATCTTCAGCTTTCAGGCTATTAGGGCTAATCCATATTTTTGACCAAATTCAAAATGCACTGAATTCTTCCTAGAATGTAGAGATCAGAGATAACTGGTTTTACTTCTATGAATAGTCTTTCATACAAACCAAGCCACCTTGAAGTTCATTAGAATGAGGACAGGGTTTGCAAAAACAACGTTAAAATTTTAGAGAAAAAAATATCCAAGAGGCAGATATGTCACATTCTCAAGTTGGAAAATTTTTCAGTGTCCCAATAGCTTTAGGTAAGATCACTCCTGTCCTGTCCAAGTCCAAATCAAAATGCTCGAGAAAAAAGGCATGGAAAGGAATGCGTGTAAGTGTTTAGGCACGCTTTGGTGCTTAGCAGCTGTGGTGAATAGGACGGTTCTTAGTGACAGCACCGGCAAATCAATAGCGTTGTCTAGCAAAATTTTGAAGTTATGCAGGCAACATCAGACCTGTCAACTCTCCCGGTTTTGCCGGGAGACTCCAGGTTTTGCTTGCTTTCTCCCGGTCTCCCGATTTTCTATGATTTTCTCCCTGTTGTCCCTTGTCTTTCAGCACAGTTTTTTTTATAGCAAAAATGATTGAAATGACTATTTTCTCGACAAAGTTTTTTGTTAGTGTTTTCAAATTAACGAAAACGTTAAAAACCATTAAGAAGACGATACCCATGGTATTTGTTGTCATCAACTGTTTGCCCAAAATGACTTTTTTTGACAAGTATGTTGTCTATAAATTCAACAAATTCCAGGGATCTCCCTGTTTTTGGCCCTGTTTTTCTCAAGAAAAAATCTGAAACCTCCAGGTTTTGAAAATTTTAGGTTGACAGGTCTGCAACATATAAAAGTTAGAGAAAACAAATCAGTCAAAGTCTTTATGGCCAATTAGGCTTTTGCTGATGTAAATCGATTGAAATAATTCTGACAGATGTTCCTGATTACATCCAAGGTTGATCAAAGATATTATGCAACAGTTACCTTTTTTATCCTGATAAACCCTTGGATTAGGTTTATCATGTGATACTTCCCCAAAACTGAGCTTTTATGGAATCTGTGGAATGAAAAATAGATGTTTCTAGAAAGATGTATTGAGTGTTTCTAGAAAAATGTATAAGTATCCCTCATTAACAACTTAGGAATCCGGGTTTTCTGAGCTGTAAGAACAATTCCTGCCAAAATCACTTAGGTCACCGTGTACTGTGCACTGTGTCTATATTTTTCATTTCTATTCCCGAATCAGGGCTGCGTAGAGGATTATGGGCCCCGGGTCAGGATGAAAGATAAATAGTAAAGCATGCCTAGGGCAGACCCTTCTAGGGGGTTTGGGGAATGCTCCCCCAGGAATATTTGAAAATGACCATGCCAGTGTGTACACTCTTTTTTTAAGAACCATCAATTTTAAGTTCAGGATGACTGCTCTTAATTTTTTCAAAAATCTGAGGCTGGATTGTTCTTAATTTGTTCTTAAATTAATAGGTTGTAAGCAGTGCCATTGCTAGCTTATCGCTCTAGGGAGTTGGTCAGGCCTCATTTGCCAACAAAGTGCGTGAGACAGCCTTCATTTGCCGCCATGTTTGAATACTCACCGAAAAGCACCTACACATTGCTAAAAATCCTCGTTTTGGAGATTAAACGTTGTTCAAAATTGCATTTTACAGTAGCACAGCCTTAGCTGGTTTTTAATTTGTTTTTAACTTCTGACAAATTTTGAGGCTCGTGTTCTAAGAAAATTGTTCTTATGAAAAGAGTGTAAATCTGTATTACATACAAATTGTTCTATGTTGCCCTGTTGCAATCATACTTTTTGGCAACATTTGGAAGCTTTTCAACTTCTTTAGCCCAAGCCCACAAAGATGAAAAATCATTAACAAAAATATTTTTAACACTTAGGCAGTCAAAGACTCAAACTGCTTACCTTACCTCATTCATAGACATTTGTGTCATTATTGTCTCTAAAATGACAGTTTATGGGAATGGAGAGGCTGGATTATTACTTTTTTTAATTGAGTTTTTGTTGGCCCCTATAGCCAAAGGCCCCCAGGTCAGTGACCCCCCTGAGACCCCCTGATATCCCCCCTCTCCTAAGCACTGTCGCAAATACTACTACTTCCATCCGCCTTCTCCCTAGAACAATGTTGATAGTTGAGAAGAATGTCATACAAACTGTGCAGAAATGTTGAGCGAATAAAATTTCGGACAATAAACTTCGACGAAAATATTTTCAGACATAATTTTTAAATTTCGGACAAAGAAGTCTTCGGACAAATGTTGACCAGTCTTCAACAAACAACATCAAGTCATTGATTCACACATATTTTTAAGATTGATACTGAACTGTTGAAGAAACTTGGAACAGTTTCTTGAAAATGTGACGATGTTAAGAACTTTCAGTATCGAATTAGCACAAATTCTTAGTTTTTTAAAAAAAACATTTGTTTTGGAACTTACCACCTCAAGGAAATTTTCCTTCCAAGGTCAAAGCTTAAATACATAAAAAAACATAAAAAAGGGAAAAAATCACTATATTTATTTTAGCTATATAGTTTTTGTCACTTGTTTAAAGGTGATATGTCTACATTTCTTTAAAGTTTAAATCTTCAAAATTGGTCTTTTTGCCAAGCCCGAGGCCAGAAAAAACTTATCATGCACCAAGGCATGAGAAATAATCTTTCAAGCTCAAGTTTTATTGAGGGATGTTTCAATAGTGTGTCAATATTGTTCCTAGGGGGGGGGGGGGGGGGGGGATGATGGCTAAATTTGCCTCTTAAATTTGACGTCCCTTTTCCAAGAATTTTGGCAGTGATTGCAGTATAATGTGATACTCAAAATAGTTACTGATTTAGAAAAATAATCTTGAAAGCCCATTAACTGATTATTAAAGAAGAGGCTGAAGCTTAATTTAAAAGAGGAAACTGAACTTCTTTCAAAGCGAAATAGGGCCTAGATTCCTTCAAATTGGTCGAATTTGGGGTCTTGTGAATTTAAACTGCATTTCATGTCAAATTAAATCTACGCTAAGTATTGATTATGAAATTTGGTTTATAAACTGTCAAGGTACGAAATGGCGCAAATTGGAAACACAGCTAGCCCAGACGATGCTTTAAAGATGCAGAAATGTTTTGAAAGAATTAAGCATTACTTGCACAAGTTTGCATGTAAGGGGAAAATTTCAAAATTAATGATTTTTAACTATCGAAGGTCTCTTAAGGTTTTGAAGAACATTGATCATGGACACAGTTAAAGCGGGGACTGTTATGAGAAAAGACACATTTGAAACACAGCTATTCAGAAATGTTCAGTCAAATTAACTACAATCACCTGCTCATATGCAGAGGTACAGAGATAAAGATCTTCAATCCATGGCTATTGCGAAAACGTGGGAAATGATGCATGAATCAGGGCCATCTTGAGAACATGGAAATCCTGATTAGAGGAGACTCGACGAATCCGATTGGAGTTCTTTGAGCCTCCTCCTAGCATCGAGGTCGCTGTGCATGCACAGCTCATTACGTTCTGACTAAAGATGTATTCCTATTGGCTATTCCAACCCGCTCTTGGCAGCAATAAATCAAAAACGGAGTATATCAACCGCCACACGCACGTTCACATCAGTTTTTTCCGAGTCGATTAAAAGCTTCAACACATCTTGATCGATGAAAAGAAAGGCGCAGAAGGCACTGAAATTGTTTTGATTGGTAAATAAACTTTTAAAGTTGAGAGATGAAGGGATATACAGATGTAACAGATGTTGAATAAATTTTTTTATGTTCAAAAATCTAACCTGAAAAACTTTTAAGATATCTTCTTTAATCAAGACATGATGGTAGCATAAGATAGCAAGCTTCAAGAATTTATCAAACGCCATAACACGTGCCTAACGCCTTTAACCAGTTTACAAAGGCTGATAAGTATTAAATCAACGCTTTACACCTTTCTTGCTGCTCAAAGAGAATTATGATGATGAAAACATGTTGCTTATAACGAAGCAAATCATGAAGAGACAAGAGAAGATCCGGAAAACAGCTTATCAGTGAAAAAAATTGAATCATTGTATAAGACATAGCTTAAAAGTATTCAAAATGATCAAAATATATAGTAACAATCAATCTGGTAAAAATGCATGAATTGTTGAATGTCTGCAAGATATTATATTTAGACCAGCAGTATTTTAAAATAAAAGGAAGAAGAAACACTCTTTCTCATAGTCAGCAATACATTCAGCATAATTTTTAAAAAGGAAGCTGGTTGTCTTTGGGACCAAAGAAATTGAGTCGTATAATTATTGATTTTGCTTTGTGGTAATTGCATCCTATTAACCTGATGTTTAAGGGAAGATATGGCATTCTAAAACTTTGAATTTATAACTTTATCAATTTTATAAGTTTTCTTGAAATTTTTTATCTGAGCCTTTTCTGTCATTTTCCACATCAGAAAAGTCCTTACATAATTCCTTGCAGTTCTCCTTAGCAATATGACTTTATAAATCACCTCCTAGCTAATAAGCCAGATCAGACCAGGCGGAGAATAGGGAAATGGTCATCCGAGGGCGAAATTCATGGGGCCAAGTGCTAGTAGTCAATTCGAGGGTGCTGATTTCGAAAATTGATGTAATACCGGGATTTTGGGGGGCCATCAGCCTCTTTTTCTCGTTTATGCGTATATGAAGGTAATCAATGAGAAAACAGTTTAAACGGAAAAAAATTACAATGTGGAAAAAGGAGGGAAGTTGCCATTACTTTTGAACATGAACGATCACGAAGTCGCATTTATAATCAAAAGTAGCGGCCAGTTTTCTCCATTTTACATGAAAAGGCAATACATTCACAACAAATGATAATAACCAGCAAAAACCTTGATGTTTGGCAATTAGTTTGGCAATAGTTTCGTTTTGTAGCAAAATCTAGATTTTCTGTAGGTTATCCTTTTTATCGCGACAATGTTTCATCTCAATATTGTAATTTTATATAAATGTAGATATTTCGACATTTACCTGCAATTTTGTTTGTTGTTTTGAAATAATGATTAAAAGTTCTTTCTTGATACATTTTGATTAAGCATTTCTGTTTTATAAGTTCCATCCAGTAGTATGTCCACTAGATTTCCGAAAACAATTAACTTTTATACTTTGACTTTGAAGTTTTTACTGCATATGTTGAAGCCATGTGGAGTATTTGCGCCCGCGATTCCTTGCCGCCATGACCAGCGTCATGCATTTTTCCCCTATGCTCCATTGATTACCTTCATATACGCAAAAACGAGACTTCAAGCACGAAAAAGAGGCTGATGGCCCCAAAATTCCTGGTATAACATCGATTTTCGAAATCAGCACCCTCGAATTGACCAAAAACATTTGGTCCCATAAATTTCGCTCCCGGACGACCATTCCCCTATTCTCCGCCTGGTCTAATTAGCCTGATACTTTTCCGGATCTTCCTTTTGTATCTTCGTTGTTTGCTTCTAGAAACTGCTCCACCTGAGATAGGCAAATCTTACATGGCCAACAGATTGGTTTCCTAATGTATTTTCCATCTGTGTTTTCCACTTCCTTGTTCTTCATCTAAAGATATTTTTCTCTGGCTATTGATGTTTATAAATCGCTTTGGTCTTCACTTTCTGTGAAACCATGAGATTTCCAGAATATGATGGCAGTTGCAGTGCCTTCAATGAAATTGCTTGTTGTAGTTACATTATCCAATGTCGCTTTTCTTTCGGGTATTGAATTTAGGTTCGTCCTGTTGCAATGTTGCATTAGAAAAAGCATTAACCGAAAAAGTAGACCACTGTATCTCGAAAGCATCAAACTATGCCAGTCTTATTTTGTGTGTTTATTATTGTACCTCTTATTTTGTCACATGTTTATTTTTCACAAGAAAGATTTTCACAAGGGCCTAGGGGCAAATTCCCCAATGCACATTATCCTACAATTACATACACATTATGCAAGTTCCCTGGAAAACCATCATTCGTGATTTTTAAAACACCTGAGACGCATCTGACCATACCAGCAAGCCTGATCTTGTTCCTCTATATTCCAGTTGTTATGTTTTATCA